CGGGAATTTGAGAGGTATTCAGATGCACGGGTGTCCACCGTTCCTGCTGTATCGCTCATCATAAGGAATCAGGTGTGGACATGCTTACTGTCATTATCATGCAGCTATTTGAGCGGGAAGCTTCAGATTCATTTTTCACTTCGGTCATAAAGAAATTACTGTAGCAGTCCGAGGTTTGGCACCTCGGCCCTGTCCTTACACGGTGCATCCTGAGTGCCTCCATGTATCGGCGTTGGTGTCAGCTCTGGAAATTCCAATAGGTTAAAAACCTTTTTTGTTCTTTCTACTATTGAAAAAGCCTTTTTTTGGTCCTGTACTGAAAAAATCTCTTTGATTCTTAAATTTTAAAATCCGACCCACTTTTGGTCCCTCCGTTAAATTTTTGCTTATCTGACACGTTAATTAACGGAAACCACTGATATGGATACTCTACAGTGTAAAAATGCTTATATGGACTTAATATACCCCTCCATGTCACTCTTTTCGCGTGAAAAAAAAAAAAAACTCAATTAATGGTACCCACATTTTGCAATACTCCTTTCTTTGTTTTTCCAGTTTCTTTCATATTCCTCCCTTAGATATCATTTTCTTTCTTTCAAAAATCTTGTTTCTCATTCATAATCAACTCTATGCATGTGAAATTAATCATGATATAATTGCGAATTTATAAAATTATTTTCGTAAAACTATTTTCACTGATAAAAATAAAAATTAATTACTAATTAAAATGATTTATTAATATTGTCAATCTTAAGTTCTTCTCTGCAAAACAATCCTTCTCTTTATAGATTTTCAACTCTTTTTTCTTGTTAAACTTAAGTAATGAATGAATCAAGTTACGAAGTTCATAACAATATGAACATAACAATATGAACACAAGAATATGAATCTATCCCTTGCAATTTCAAAGCCACATATCAAACACAATTTGGGTTTCCTAATCAACCTAGAACTTAATTTCTCTAATTCAAAAACAAATATGAAACTTTGGTTTCATTCGGCTTTGGAATATGAATACATTCAAAATGACAAAAAAAATAAAAAGAGGGTCGAAACCCAAATACCAGGTTCCTCGAGGAACAAAGAAATTGGGTTCATCGTAGAACCCAGATCTGGGTTCTGTTGTGAGGATTTGGGTTCCACAAGGAACCTAGATCTAGGTTTCGTGCGGAACCCAAAAGCTAGGTTCCTTGCGCGAAACCCAGCAACTGGGTTCCTTGTGGAACCCAGGATGATGAAGGGGAGGGGAACATGATGGTGATTACATGATGCCGAGGATGAGGAGAAAGAAGAAGAAGAAATTAAAGCTAATTAAACTCATTTAATTCATTAATTAATAAATAAAATTTTTAATTTATATATGCAGATAAAATATTTAGATGAAATACTTATATTGATTATAATTTTGTACACGTAATTTCTAGGTAATTTCCAGGTAATCTATTATTTTGTACACGTTATTTCCACATAATTTATTACATTATTTATATAATTTTCACATAATTTATTACATTATTTATATAAAAAATAATCAGCAGTTTTTGTTAATTAACATGTCAGATATGCAAAAATTTAATGGAAGGATAAAAAAAGAGTCGGATTTTAAAATTTAAAGATTAAAAAGGGGATTTTTTTAGTATAGGAACAAAAAAAAAAGGACTTTTTTCAATAGTAGAGGACGAAAAGGGCATTTAACCATTCCAATATAAATGGGAGACCATCTTCCCGGGGACCATTTTGACTTCCTTGGTCTTTGCAATTACTCCAGATCCTACTGGCCGGCTTCATCCTGATTCCCTTCGTTTGTATAATTTCTCGGAAAGAAATAGTCAGTTGTATCATCAGGGTCATGATCTAGCTGTTCATAGCTATCGAGCAAAGCCTCTTGGGATGAAGCTGTAAATAAGCAAAACATTAAAAAATAAAAAATTGAAGTTAATTTTTCAATGTAATCTAAAGGTGCAAAGGGAAATGAAGTAATTAAGATCATAAAAATGATGAGAATAGGCACAAAATTTGTTCTTAATTTCCATTAAATTATATAATTGGAAAATAATTGATAGATTACTCAGTTAAACATATTTTTTAACATTTATTTTAATTAATTTATTAAAAGATAATATAAGTACAACTAATTTAATTGATTCTTGAATTTTATATACATGATTAAATTTTTAAATTTATTTCACTTTAATTTTATATAAAAAAAAATAATTTTTTAATATATATTATATAATATATTAAATTAAAAATTATACCAATTATTACCTTATATGTTGATAAGGCCGAAAATAGACATATAATTAATGTGTTTATTTATATTGTATTCTCGTTTTAAAAAAATAATTATAATATATATTAAATATAAAATTTTATTTAAGTGATACTTAATTAAAAATAAATATAAATTAATAAATTTTTATATTTTTATTTTATTAAATAAAAAATTAAATCTACTAAAAATTAAAAAAAGAAGAAGTATTTTTTCATTTATGTAAGACACACAATTAGATTTCCACTTGGTCAAGAATGAAATTCTAGCCAAACCACTTAATAATAATTTTCCCAAAAGATGAAGGAACTATAATTTCTTGAAGAATCCTGCTTAATCATTCTTCACTACTCCCCTGCATTTTAGTAGATAAGAACATTTCCTCGTCTCTACTAAGCTTAAATGCTGGTCATGTAACTCCTCCTATCCTCGCCTGCTTAGGGGCTTCGCAGGGGGCTTTTGGCTTCTGTCTCATCCTCTAAGCTATCACTGCTGCTTTCCAGGACTGACATCGGACTGTAAATCTGGAACTTGTAGTGCGATGAATCATCTTTATTGTTAATTGTCAAGCTTCCTTCAGGCAAGGAATGATCAACAAAATTCGATGGCCATTCCAATGGATCAATATCATCATACTACAAAAATCAGAACAAAAAAACACTGAAAAGAGCGAAGAAGAAAACAAGGAGTTTGTGTCAGGTGAAACATGGTATACATCGTTTTTCCTTTACCTTTCTCTGGTCCTTTGTTTGGCACATCGATTCCCTAAGTGTGTTCTGATTGGGAATAAAAGCTCGATGGATTCCTGTCAAGTGGAGGTTTCCAGGTTGACGATCCCCAAAACCTTGGGTGAATCTGAAGATGTTGCTTCCTAATCCCACGGAAGAGTAGCCGTATCTGCCCTGCACCTGCCCGATCGTAAGAAGAACACATCAATTAACATTTTCCCAGGAAAATGAAAACAAGTTTCCGGATTACTAGAGGCGTTTGGAATTTGTAACTCACATATTTTTATCAAACAAGTTACAGATGTTTGAGCAAGGGGAATTCAACCCAGGGTCATGGACTTAGTAGTGTATATAATTGGTTGTGATTGACTGTGCTACCTTTGGGGAATTTCGAGAACTATTGACACACCTAGCTACGAAGTACGACTGCCATTTCAACAGGCAGACAAATCTACTCTGCATCCCACCCATATAATGAAAAATGTCTATGATTATGCTTCTCTCCTAGGTCAAATTAAAGGTAAATTTGAAGCCATAATTTTCCAACAAGGGGCAGAACACTTACAGTTTCTGTGTTCTTCCGCTTCAGTTTTTTATATTTATTTGTTATCCGCTCCAGTTTTTTATATTTATTTGTTATCCGCTCCAGTTTGTTCTTTAATCGTCCATTTTCAGCCTCAAGTTTTTCCACTTTGGACTTCATTTCCTGATATTCATGCTTTAATTGCCCATGCTCAGCGCCAAGTTCTTCCAGATCGGACTTCATTTGCTGTTTTTGTTGCTGGACATGCAGACCACACTCAAAGGGGGCAAATGAAATGATCATAAAGATTGATAAATTAAGATGTTTACCTTAATTCGGTCCCTATATCTTTTATCGTTTTGTCTTTTCCTGGCTACTTTATCTCCTGCAATAGTTTCACAAATCCCCGGTGACTGAGAATCTGCAGTGGATCGCTGCCTTTTCTTTCTGGTTGTGCCTAATTGTTGCTGCGTCAGCGGCAGCTTTCCTTCGGTGGTCTGAATCACCGATCTATTGAAATTTTGCTCGCAGCCTTGATCTATGGAAGTACTTGTGTCCGGTTGACCTAAATGTTGCCGCGTCAACGGCTGCATTCCACATTTATTTATCCAGTTATGTAGGAATCCGTTTGGATCCTCAAATTGCTGCTCATCTGCAGGCTGCATATTCTCCAGTAGACCTTGCTCACTACTTGTGGGACTCTGAAGCAATATTTGTATAATTTCACGGGTATTTGGTGCTGAAAATAAAGAAATGAATTAATCTTGTAAGGCATATATGAGAAATTCATAAAATCTGTTAAAGGAAAACTAGAAATGAGAGCCGTGGATGAAATTAAAATTAGACACTTACAGTATTCCCGCGGCGGCCACTCTTCATCTCCACTTCTCTCCATTCGCAACTGTGAGAAAAGAGTGGGAATAATGCCAATAATTGCTACCCGTTGGGGGCCTTAGTTTTTGGAGGACTAATGCTATAGGAGACTTTTTGTAGTGACAGGCAGGTAATCGATCGATCATCGGTCGACAGCGTGTGGGAGTCGGATAGGTATATTATAGTTGGTTAGTGGTCCCTCTACAAAAAAAAGAAAAAGTGGTGGTCCCTCTAGAAAAAAAAAAAAAAAAGTGGTGGTGAAAATGGCAGATTTAACTATCAACTTTTATCATAAATGTCAGGTATAAATATCGAATATTATCCTAACATTTCATTTAAACAAAAAATAATTCAAACCTTTTCAAAATTATCAAGACTAATTCTACCATTAATTATTTCCGATCAGTTTTCAACGAAAATCCTAACTGAAATTTTAGGAGACCCACATAAACTTTTACATAATTTCTCTTTTAATTTTTATTACCTTATAAATTTAATTTTGCTAAATTTGAAAATTTTTATACACCATAACTTCACCATCAAGTGAATTTAATTCGATAATTTTGAATTAAAATTTCTCAAAAATTCCCTCTTTACTTTTATGGTGGATGTGCATATTTTGAGCATTATATTGTTAGAACCACACCAACTTTGATATATATATATATATATGTATTTGTAAATAATTAATTATGATATTTGAAAAGATAATAATGGTATGCATTTTGATCAACATACTTTATAATATATTTATTAAAAATTATTATTTTTAAAATTAAAAAATTTCCCTCCCACCTTAGCTTTTCATTTTCATCGACTCAAACAAATCGTTAAAATATTAGATTTTAAAATATTATACTTAATAAATTGGTCATTTTAATTTTAATTATTTAAAATTTGAAAATCAAAACCCAAAACTTAAAATTACAACACTACTAAATAGAACCGTACTAGTAAGTTTCGATTGCATACCCTTGTGATTTCGTTAAAATAACAAACAACTTCTTGGGTTTTTATTTTTTATTTTTTTTTAATTCATGGACTCTGTAGCCAAATGCCCAGATTAAGTTGCATTCTAATCTTATTTGAACTCTCAATTTTATTTTATTTTTTTATCGACGTACTAGAGGAAAATTGACATAAAAAACTGATTAAATGGAAATATTGAATGATGCATGCCTGCAATCGTATGTGGTATTGTAAGAGATACACCTTATGATGAATGCAATGTTCCTTCCGCCCTATGTCAAATCTAAAGTTCAATTATCCCCAATTTTGAGGTTATAATCTGATCGCCCAATCTATTTCTTCACAGAGCTGGATACCTTCTTATCACCAAGAACTGACACTAACCAAGCGTCCATAGAGAAGTAAAACAAAGAGATAGAGACCTATAATTTAATAGGAAAATTCCTCGCAAATATACTTTTTGACTCAATTTATTGGCGGACTTAATACAAGACCCAACACTATCTAAAATTTTCTTGAAACATTCCTTCCAGAGGATCCCTTACGAATCTTAAGACACTTGAATATGAATTTTAAGAATTCCTGCAACAAGCCAGAAGAGACTGAAAATAGATAAGAACTAACATAAAAACATGAAACATCAGGACACCCATTATACAATTTAATATTACTCATCAAAATCTTTAAATAATTAAAGAGTTAGGATCCTCTTACATAAAATCATAATAATTCATTTTCCGCTATAAATGAGTAAAATCTATCACAACTTCATTATATAAATACAAGCAGAAACTGCATCATATAAATCTCCCCCTTATTCTTCTCCATGCATTTATCCACACTTCATTCTTCCATTTGCCTTTTATCATCACCTAAAGTACAAGAATGAGGTTATTTTCTTGAAGTTTTGAATCTCAAAAGCTTAAGTTCTGTACAATCATGATGCGACAATAATCATGGTAAAATGCAGGGGATAAGATCTATTGAAGCATGCAAGTCTATTGTATTAATCATCTAATAAGAACATTCAGACAATGCTTGTCTAGTGTATTAATCATCACACATGCTGTTATTGGCAGTTCGAAGTAAAATTGACATGTTATTTACTAATTACTATTGGACATTCTGAACCATGTTCAAATTACCTTGCTTATGTTTCTAGTTTACATGAGCCATGATTGAAACTGTCATGTCCATCACCAAAATTATTGTCATTGTATTATCATTCTATGGAGGTTAACCTATGCTTATGGCTAGGTATTGTATTACCATTACACACTAGGGTTGTCATGGCTGGACCAACATTAGTGAGATGTACACTTGCATTGATTGAATCCATAGCACAATAGAAGTCGTATTGATCATTTGCATAAACACATGTAAATCTGTTATTGTCTATTGTGATCTATCTATGACTTACTGTGTACTTGAGTAACCTGACCAAACTATTCTTAGGAAAGAGCCTTGATGGGATTGATTCTATATTTCTAAGGCACAGAAGTATTTTATGAGAAGTGGTAAAATCTCATTTTAGAATATTATCATAAACATGTGTGGTTTAAATATAAAGAATACTACTTTACATATTTTCAACTGATTTTAAGTTATATGCAAATTTTTATTTAATTAAGACTACATGTCAAACTTACACCTAATTGAAGTTTTATCTCCCTCTTTCTGATGAACTAAGTCTTACAAGTTACATCAATTCATCAAGTACAAGTTAGAGTCTATAACTTGGCAAGACAGACTATACTAATGCTGGCTCATGGTTTTGTAAGGAAATTTCACAGGCCTAGTTCGTGTAATGTGACTAGTGGATGGGACCCCATGTAAAACTATAGTCGGATACTTAGGCATATTTTGAACAGAACAAACTGCAGCTTTAAATCTATGCATAAATGGACTGTTCCAAACTATGACATACTCTTTTAACTTGAAATTCATTAATCTACTTGACAATTATCCTTAAAATCATGGTACTAAAGTTCTAACCTAAACTTTATTATCTATTGTTTTAAGGTAATAGCTTGCAGGTTTGGATGTGACAGTGGTATCAGGGCATTAAAGGAATTTTACTTTTACCCAAACAAAAAGTGACTATAGAGTGATGAAAGTACAAACCATAATTGAGCAATAATGAAAAAACAAAAGGTTCACTCACCTCAAGGCAATGATAATCCAACCAAATCAGGCAACCTAGACATTCACTTGTCTGCAAGCAAAATGGAAAACTTGTTCAATTAACAAAATGTTATAGAAAAAAGAAGAAAAATATTAAAGTAATTTCAAAATATACCATATTTATCATGACTTGAACGCGTGTCGTTTAGTTTCTTCCGCAGTTCCCGCCATCTTGACCTGTTTCTTTAGTTTCTTCTCCGGATTCTTAATTATCTGTTTTTCCAAGTTTGAACAAGATATGATTAGCACGAAGAATGTTAAATTCGAATCCCGAATTTTCCAACGGTGGTACCACAAGAAAATCAAACTTACAATTTGTTGCTCTGTGTACTCAATTTTCCCCAGCAACTGATCCATTTCCCTTGACTTATCTTCCAATCTTTCATTCAACGATTGATTTTCCGCCATCAAAAGTTCTTTTTCAGCCTCAAGTTTGGTTAGTTTCAGCTGCGCAGACTTCATTAGCTGTTGCTCCTTCAGCAATTCATGCTTCAATCGTTCTATTTCCGCATCAAGTGTCTTCACTCGCTGATCCTTTTCCTGATTATCATCCTGAAGTTTCTGTTTCTTTTCCTGAACATCAATTTCATATGGTACACAATAAAATTCAAGACCACACTCACGGAGTAAAAATCTAATAATAAAGATATTTATTCAATTACCTTTTCCCTTTTCCTATATGCTCGATCGCTCGCTCTTTTTCTCTCGCGCCGTTTCCACCGTTCTGCTTCACTAATTTCACTCTCACCAATAGTTCCTGTGGAACGAGAATCTGCCGTGGATATTTCTGCTGGTTGACCAAATTGTTGCTGGGTCAACGACAGAAATCCAGCTGCCATCTGATTCTCCGGCCATTCTGCTCCGGGTACAGGCAGTAGATTGACTTCATCTATGGAATTAGATGTCCCAGGTTGGCCTAACTGCTTCATCAAAAGCTGTAGAATTTCATGTGCATCCACAGGGAGCTGATCATATTGTTGCTCGTTTAATTTCTCATCATAACTGGTTGGAACCTGAATCGCATTTTCTACAAATTCTTGGGTTCCTGGTGCTGAAAATATATAAAACAGAGAATCTTGTGGAGTATATACGAGATATTCATCGAATCCATCAAAGAAAATTGGAAAGAATCTAGGAATAAATCAACGTGTAAGAGAATAAAAATTTTCGAAGGCTTTTCTATATGATGTTGTCTGAAAATCAGAAGGACCAAATCAATGGAAAATAATGAAAGACAGAAGACAGAACATACAAATGATAAGGAGAAGAACTATTATTAATAAAAAAATCTAAGATACATTGATTAATTTTTCTTTCTTATTTTTTGAAGGGAAGCTCAAGATTGGTAATTTTCAACCTAATACAATCGCCATGTGCCATAACTACAGCTTAGAAAAACTATTATTACGGGAAAAAAAAAAAACTTATATAAATTGACTGGATCGAAGTTAAAAACTCACAGAGACTGTCTCCATTTTTCTCCATTTTGCAAGGACAAAGGTAATTTTTTGGCTACCAAAAGCGTCAAGGATAAATTGATTGGATTGAGATTTTTCCTTTTTTCATGTAGTTCTTGTTGGTAGTTTTCACTTGATAAAAGACATTTTCAATTAACATTTATATAATATAAAAAATGTATTATCTAAAAATACGGCAATGCTTGCCTGTCGCTATTACAAACGATCGTTCGATCCTCGTCTGTTCGCGCGTTCGATCGTTCGATGGACGACTGTGTAGGGTCACTTCTCTAATCACTGCGTTCAATTGTTTGTAAAATTTGAGAGGATCGTTCGATCATCCACATGCTTATTGGGCGCGGTCGTTCGATCAATCCATCGATGGCCGTCTGCGAGTGTATAATACTCCGTCTCATCTATTTATTAGTTATACATTTAAAAAATATATATCATAGAAACATATATACTTATTATGAAGAAGAATTTATTTATATATAAATTTTATACATTTTATTTATATAAAATTTTAATTTTTTATTATTTATTTTTAATAAATGAGATTTCTTATAATTTTTAAATAAAAAAAATATAAAATTGATATCGTTATTTGCATTTATTTGCATCTTTTCTCCTTTATATTCTTTGCTTCCAAAACTCAGTCGCCAATGAGTGCCCCTGTAGTAATTTAAAAAAAAAAAAAATCATCAATTATACATCAAACTAATAGTATTAATAGTTTCCAGCAAAATTGGGATTATTGGATAGAGAGACGAATTCCAATATCAAGATTTATTTTCATCTAATAATATAAATTATGTAATTTAATGTAATTCAAACTGTATTGTATTTTCTTTTAAAGTATTACTATAACTTTAGTCGGTTTAAGTTCTTACCCTTCGTAGAGTTTCCCAGACATCTTCACTAGCATTAACGTCACCTGTACAAGAATTGTAATCAATCCCAATCTCTTGAATTAAGACTGTGAGTGTGAGCTTCCTGTGTCTTTTTCTCAAGCTTTGGTACTTCTTTTTCAATTGAGGATCAGTGTAATCTCTGCCAATTTTTTCTTTGAGTCCTTGTACAATATTCCTCCATCCAAGTCTGGAGAAGTTACCAGCTATTCGATTTCTTTTCTTCACCTCCTCAATCATTAACTCAATGAAAATTAGTTCATTTGAATCACTCCATATGTTTTCCCTGTCATCAATCCCGTACAATCATTGGTTTCATCAAGACTCCCCATGCCATCTATCTTTGCAAGTAAAAAAAGAATTGTTAGAAACGACTAACAAATTCAAATAAATTCTAACCCAATAGACGTTAATTACAGATAAATTTGCAATCAGCAACACCAAACATGAATAAACTTCGTAAAAAATATGGGAAAACAGAAGTAAAACCACAAGGAATAAGCGATTTACCTCCTTAATCCCTCATTTTCATGACAAATTACTAGCAGATGCAGAATAGGGGGGATTGGAACCTCAGATAAGCCCTCTTTGCAAAACCCAAGAGAAAACAAGAGAAGCTAGCCGCGTGTTTGAGAAAATGGGAATGAATTAAAGAATTGGTAACTTGAGATTCGAACTCTAGCAATTAGCGCAGTTCACTTTGTTTGTGCGTAAAAAATTACCTTTTAAAAAAAAAATTCCTAACTCATCGTTGAAAATGGTTGGCTACTCGGCATTTTTTTGGGGCGTGTTTGGTTTGCAGAAAAAAATTGCACGAAAGCCAAGCTGATGGGCTCATATAAATCGTGCTTAAAAATTGGTTATGATGGCAAATATGTAGTAAGCAAATATAAGGCCATATTGCTGCTTATATTGTCACAAAATTCTGCTAAAACATTTTAGAGGATGAATTATATTTCAAATATAATTGCCTATATTGCTTTTAAAGCCTTTATAATTATTTTAAAACATTTATAACTTATTATATTATTTATTAAAATTTGTGTCAAAATTTTACATTTCTTTTGTCAAGTGACTTAGGCGGTTATTGCTGCCGCAAAAAGAACTTTTTGGCCGGATGTTAAGCAAGCAAAATCATAAATCTAAACTGAGTTTTCTTCTCTTATGGAGGCGGCGGAAGTGAAGGTAGGAGGGAAAACGCCGTTGGATTTACTATTTTTTTTTTATGTCATTAATAAAAAATT